TGATGAACGAAATCGTTCAATGGGAGCAGCTCCTTGGCGATGAGTCACTAGATATTAGGGACCAAAATTAATTAGTAGTCGACCAACTAATAGCGAATTTTTAAAATTTGTCAACAACTAGCATGTCGAAGATTGACATTAAGGGTATTTTCTTACAGGGGGAATGAGAGTTTTATTATAAAGTTTTAGAGTTATAATCAACTGACAAAATCTCGGCAAAAAGGGAGGTATGTAGCCAACAAGTTGTGCTACAAACAACTGTACCATGATTTCCCAAAGGGAAACACTTCTAATCTATAGTCTGATCAAAAGCACCGCGTTAGACTGATCCATTCGAATTGAATCCCATGACCAATACTTCTTATCTCTTTGGTTTTTAAAAAAAGGCACATCGCCTCGTTGCTAACCACCCACATCTACCGCATAATCCCATCCCGCTAATCACTCGCCCATTCATCCATCCCAAGACCCCCTTGCATGAAGCTCCCTAGCTTGCCATCGACCGCACTACTCGCCTTCTCTGCGATTGTGTCGCCCATCACCTGGTCGGATCCGTTCTTCCGCTCCTCTCCACCTCACTGCCCAGATCTGTTCCACTGCTCCTCCCTTTTTCCTCCCATCGATGAGCCCCCCGGGCAACATTGCAGGTGTGCAGGTGCGCCTTCCTGGCATTAGTTGGCCGAGCCCAACTTCCCCTCCCTGATTGCTGCTTTGACGGGTTACCTCCCATGTTGGAGTAGCACCAGAAGGCCGAACAACAAGCAATGGACTCTAGTGTTCCCCTATTTGAAGAGCCTCCGATCAGAGTTGAAGGTTAGTGTGTCACTCGCCCATGCAAGTTATATTTCCGTTATTTGAAGCATTGTAGTTCTCGAGTTCTTTCTTCTCATCTCTTGGATTTGTTCATCATAGTTTGTTAACTCCATTGCATGTTTATGTACTCGAGTTGCATGAAGCACATAGGAAGTTAGGAAAAAGCATCACATATGTCTGTGTGGCAACAGTGCAAGGGAAAAGGTCCTCACACTTTTGATCGCAGTGTATGTCACCGGCCGCAGTAGATGTAATGGAGCTTACTGACCATCACAAAAGTAAATTCTATATTTAATGGAGAGACACGATCATCACCATGAAAGCACTCCCCATGTTATTTGGTATGATATAATTTTTCTTTTTCTTTTTAATGGAAATAAATCTATATTTGTATGGAAGCAATTCTTCTAGTCTACGAAAATAGTATCATAATGATTTGGAGGCAAAGTATGGAAGCAAATCTATATTTGTATGGAAGCAATTCTTCTAGTCTACGTAACATAAAATATTTTTTACGGTGATTATATATTTTCTTACGGTATCTTTTTGCGTCGAAAATAAGACACAACTTATGGAACGTAAAATTATAGTGGATTGATGGTAAAATAAAGGTGGGGTGAAGAATAACTATTACTCATTCAGGGTGACGAATAATTGGATTTATTTTGCAATTTGTATTGCTGCTCGCGAGACACGGAGGAAAACTTGCCCAACAGAAAATAAATTGGGCATACATTCGTTGAGCTCATGAAGAAATACCAATCGCATGAGGTAAACATTACCATATTGCACGTTTTCCTCTTACAAAGCTTTTGTTCCAATTGATACTAATCCTACGCAAATAGGAAACTGTATCATAGTTAGAATATCATGTTTTTTTTATCTAAAGTTAGAATATCATGTTAACATAAATGGAAGCAAAAAAATTCTTAGGAACTTCAACACCCCCCCCCCCAATCGGGAATTACTTGACGCAAAAAAATGATTAAAAAAGATGTATTTAGAACTAAAATACATCTTATTTCTAGATACATTCATTTATTCGACAAGTAATTCCGGATGAAGGGAGTACATAAAAAACATGTAGTACCTTTTAGCATTAGGGAATTGCCAGCTGGAATAAGTAAAGCAAAATCAGAATGCTTGGAGCACGACATAAAAATGGGTCTCAGAGCATAAATAAAACAATATATGCCATATGTGTGTACACAATTTAAATGTTATGAAATACATTACAATAAAGAGACAACAAGATAATTATGACGCATACATGAGACTTTGCGTAATCACATATTTTTTCTGGGTCACATGACAAAAGGAAAATTGACGACTTAACACAAAAAATACTATTTATCTGTGAACATCAGTTGATTGTTATGGCCATATATACAAACAAGAATGAAAATTTTCTCGTTAGGACGGGTGGCCAACTCTGGAATTTGCTTTGTTGAAACACAACTACTGAGTTGTCTTTCTCCGCCTCTCCTCTACTTAATTGGGTACTACGTATTTGCTGGTGCACGAGATGGCCAATCCTATGCAACCGGGAGGTGCTCAGTTGATTTTTTCGACGGTTTCTGTTCTGGTGCGCTGGTTCTGAAGGCCTTAACATGATGACTTCTTGGCTTTCTACTACATAAGGTTTGCTCGGCTTCGATGATGAAGGGACGATGATGACGGCGCGCCTTCGACGCGCTCCAGTGTTTGTAGTCGTCGCTAAGTGATCTAAGAACCTGGATGTAATTTGTACTTTTGGTGTTCTTTATACTACATTGACAGTTGATAAATATATCGGAAGTTTTCTTCAAAAAAGTGCTCAGTTGAATTCAACATGCATTACACCAACCCGCAAAAAACAAACAAACATGCATTAGTACATCAATCAAACTGCTTTTTTAGGCAAAACCAATCAAACTGCTCTTTTTTAGGCAAAACCAATCAAACTGCTGGGACGACCTCGGATTCGCAGCCAGCCTGGCCCGGGGAAAACGGGAGAGAATCCAATCGTGGCCGAGACAACAACACAACGAGCCGGCCCCCCAACCCGGCCCATTAAACTCTGACCTGTCCCACGGTTTCCGTCGCCTCCCGTCTCCACCGCATCTAAACCCTGCCCCTCTCTGTTTTTCTCTCCCCCTCCGAGGTTTTTAGGGTTTCGCATCCGCATCAGCCGCCGCCGGAACCGGGGAGGCGGCGATACGTCGCGATGCAGCCAACATACCAGCCGCCAATGAACGGCCAGCACGCGCCTCAGCCGCAGGCCTCTGGGGCTCCGCCGCCTCCTCTGCAGCAGCCCCCCCCGCCGCCGCAGTACTACCAGGCGCCGCCGCAGTACTACCAGCAGGGACCCCCGCCGGCTATGTGGGGCCATCCGCAGCAGCATATGCCTCCGCAGTACGCGCCCCCGCCGCCGCAGTACGCGCCTCAGCCTCCTCAGCAGTACGCGCCGCCGCCGCAGCATTACGCGCCGCCGCCGCCGCAGTACGGAGCGCAGATGGCTGGCGGGCCGCCTTCCGGAGGCGAGGATATCAGGTCGCTGTGGATCGGAGATCTCCAGTACTGGATGGATGAGACCTACCTCTACAACGCCTTTGCTCCTGTGGGGCCGCAGCAGGTGATGCCTCTATCTACTGAGAGAATTGTCGCATTACAAATTTACACTTCCAATGTGTGTGCTTAAATGATGGATTATGTTGGGGTATTCATACTGAGCGTTTTCTATCCTATTTTCACATGTACCATAGGAAGTGACTCAGTGTTTGCTTTGTGGGGTTAGCAAAGGCATGCATTATTGTTAATTTAGATCAGCCTTTGCTGTTATTTTGAAACATGTTATGCACAGACGGTTACAAGCTGTCATATCACTTGTTTAAGCATTACTGTTTGATCTTTACCTGTGATGTGCGGCATGCTCAATATAGACCTGTTGTAGGTAGCGCAACTTGATAAATGTGCTGTATAAAGACAAATAAAGGTGTCATATTAAATACTCCCTCTGTAACTCAATATAAGATAGTGATGTGTCAAAAAATGTCATATATTAAGTTGCGGAGGAGGGAGTAGTATATGGTAGCATGTTCATGTATCTATGTTTTGGCGTTCTATACATTTCCATCAATTGTCTTTCGCCACCCTGGAAGTGTGATCTCTGGATTAAATATTGTATATCTGTTATAATAATTTCACTTATTGTTTTTTCCTAGTATTTCTGGAAACATTGTCATTGTATGCACTTGCTTTTGTATAAGTACTTCATGTATTGGGTATTAATGTTCTCTAGAAATTGCAGGTCACCTCAGTGAAAATCATCCGCAACAAACATACTGGGCAGCCCGAGGGTTATGGTTTTATTGAATTTCAATCTCGAGCTGCTGCGGAATATGCTCTGGGGACCTTTAATGGGCAGATGATGCCTAATGTTGAACAAGTTTTTAAGCTAAACTGGGCTTCTTGTAGTGCTGGTGACAAGCGGGGTGACGATGGTTCTGATCACACAATATTTGTTGGTGATTTGGCTGCTGATGTTACTGACGCCATGTTGGAAGAGATATTCAAAGCCACCTACCCATCAGTTAAAGGTGCTAATGTTGTTACTGACAGGGCCACTGGTCGCTCCAAAGGATATGGTTTTGTACGCTTTGGAGATCTAAATGAGCAGACACGTGCTATGACTGAGATGAATGGAGTGCCATTGTCTACAAGACAAATGAGGATTGGGCCTGCAGCTAACAAGAAGAATATAGGTACTCAGCAGACATATTCAACTAATGGTACGTGAACTGGAAAACTTTTTCCTCATAGAATATTAATTATTTTCTGCTGTTTCGTCACCTGCTTGTATAGAATCTTGTAGGGAGTAATGATATTTAGGTACTTTCTTGTGGGCACACCATTTTGTAGGCCAATTCAATCTGTTTACACTCTGATTGTTCCCTGTTTGCTTCCTCGATGAGAGTGTTCTTTTAGCACTTCTTATCTTTCTACTCAGTCCAGTTCAGGGTAGCCAGCACAGCTTCTGTTGCTATAAACAGATATATGTCCTTCCCGCTCTTTCATTTGTAAAGATTGGGATAAATGAACACAACTAAGTAATGAATAAACTAAACACAATTCATGTTTCTCAAAGCAGGATGCCATGCCATCTTCATTTAGTGCCTGGAAATATCTTCAGCTGAGATAGATGTCTCCTGTAATCTGTGGCCTCAGTTAGGTCAGTGTTTTAATTTTGCGACTTTTTGGGGGGGGGGGGGATTGTCTCACATTGAGATAGCTTACTTGAAGCTTTTTCTATATACTTCAAATGATATTCTCTATCTACACTCCCAAACAGTTTGTAATTCCCATCTTAAATATTCTTTTCCCTCGAACTCCCATTCCTTGTTTGTGCACCTAATCTTTTGTAGTGCACATAACATTTGTTCTATCTTCCGTTAGTCCTTGAATAAACTGTCCTTGCATACACAAGTAATTGGTTGCCTTCCCTTTTTTTTGGATGGACAAGGTTTAGGTTTGAGATGGCCTGCACTAAATATATTATACTGGGCAACAAATATTAAAGCAAATGGTTTCCTTCCTAGCACTATTAGTTGTGTGCTGCATGTTGCAACAGAGGAGGCTAATTCCAGTTCATCAATATTATGGCATTTGCGCAAAAATAGGACGGCAAGCTAACCTGTTTACTGACAGCCATGCTCCTAGGCTTCATTTTCTTTTACAGCCAATCTGACACATGCAATGGTCGAATTAAATTTGTGAAGCAAGGATGTACCTCCCTTGGTTGACAATGGCTTCTTTGTGTGATGGTTGATTTGTTGTAGTGAAATAGCAGCATTTGCATGTACTTCATGATTAGGTTGATGATATATTTGTACTTTCCTGCTTCATGTGTATTAGTTCTTTTGTCTACTGTGGTAGGTCTGAGCACCCAGTTGGGTTTGCCAGCTTTAGGTTTTGCATTTTGTTTCTATGGTTATCCTTTCGGAAGTTAATTATGTCTGTATGTTTTGTTACGGCAGCAGGGTACCAGAGCTCTCAAGTAAATGAGGCGGCGAATGATCCCAACAATACTACAGTGAGTACCTTGTTATATTTTTCTAAATTGTGAGAGTTGATGTTTCCTTATTTTTCATACTTGTGCGATAGATCTTTGTGGGCGGGTTAGATTCCAATATAGATGAGAACTATCTAAGGCAAGTTTTTACTCCATATGGCGAAGTTGGTTATGTGAAGATTCCTGTAGGCAAGCGTTGTGGATTTGTCCAATTTACCAGCAGGTTAAGAAAATCTCCAGGTTTTTTTACTAGTAGTACATACGAGCTAATAATATCCATGACCTAATTGTTGCTCTCGTCACTGCTCTACTTTCAGGGCGTGCGCTGAGCAGGCCATCAGTGCGCTGAATGGGTCTCAGATTGGTAGTTCCAATGTTCGCCTTTCATGGGGCCGTAGCCAAAACAAACAGGTATTGTAGCTGTTAGCTGTTAAATCTTGACGTGTGTATCATTCTAACCCAAACATCGTTTTGTCAGCCTCCCCAGCAGGATGCAAACCAGGGTAATGGCAACAGCTACTATGGATATCAACAGGGTCCTGATGCATACTATGGTGCACCCAATGCGCAAGATCCTAGCATGCAAAACTATGGATACTCTGGTTATGGCAGTTACGAGCAGCAACAGCAGCCATCTCAGCAGCAGCAACCTCCACAGCAGCAGCCACCACAGCAGCAACAGCAGCAGCCCCCACAGCAGGCAAGGAATTGACAACCCAATATATGCTACTGCCTTAGTGATTTCATCTAAAACAATCTTTTTGAAATTTGTCTGTGCAAATAAACAAAGAAATGATACAAATACGCCTCTCAAACTGCAATTTGTTGGCTGATTTTAGTGATTGTTAACATTGTTCACATGCTTAAATGATGGCTTGTCTTTGGCTGATGACTAACCTGGCTACCTAATATTTTGCAGTGACCATTGAGGCGATGGAGCGCAATCAGAGATTCAGAGCTGCATGAACTGAATGCTACCGCGTCATGAGTTATCGTATAGGTGTCCTTGTTTGTAAGATGGGTCGTATCTAGTAGTACTTTGACTGTTGGGCAGTAGCTCTAGTTCTATTCAGTGCTTCTCTTGGTTTTAAATTATCGAACTATGTCCATGACTGAGTTAAGCTTTTAATGTTATTTTGGATCACCAGGTTCTTGGTTTTTGCGTTGATAGTTAAGGCTTTTGGGTGAGAGCTGAACAGAGCGGCTCAACTTGTGCAAATTTTAGCTGAGAGCTTGAACCAAAAGGCTTATGTAGTCTGCCATTTTGTTGTTGTGAGAATGCCTCAAATAAGCAAAAACAGCAAATCAAAATAACTCTAGTGTCATGTTGGAAGAGCAAATCAAAATCATCATCTGCTGGTAAACCGATCCTACTATTTTCTTCTATAAAAGCGCGAGGAACGGAGATCTAAGGAAAGAGCAAATCAAAATAATAATCTGCAGGTAGACCGATACCAAAACCACTGTCTTCCCAATAACCAATCCAACCTGACATATAAGATCCACAAGATGGGCAGTTATTCTTATCACGAAAAAGAGATACTTTTTACGCAACTCCCTCAATATAAAAAAATAAAATAGGGAAAGGTGTTCAAAAAATAAAATAGGGAAAGCTTGTGCGTTGCAATGGGAGAAAATATACCACACGTCTAAAAAAAGCCACATGTCCAATGCCGGCCCTCAAACCGCCTGCATATGTTTGGACTGCGCGGTTCGGACATGCTGTGCCATGCAACGCGGTCGGTCCGCAGAGTGGTCCAGACACACTTTCTCCCGCAAACGTGGGCGGGCTTTGCGGGCGTCCGGATAGCACCAACGCCAGCTTCTGATTACTTTGGCCCACCCAAACCCCCTCCTCCCTCGCCCGCTCGTGTTCTTGCCCGGCGCCAGCTGCCCGCATTCATGCCAATGTGGAGCGGTTGCTCCACATTGAAGCCAGCTCAGAGCAGGCGCGATGTCTCACTTCCTCCGCCATTGAAGTGGCACGCTAGCCGACGCATCCCCGATGTTCACGCCTATTCAATACCGGAGACGCGTTACTGGACGGGATGAATATTTACCACGCCCGTTCAATGCCTCGTCCGTCCGTATGCCGCCGTTAAGCAGGCTCGCCGACCGACAAACCTACTCCGGCTCCGGGCATTGACGAACCCGGACGCCTGGCCTCACCGGAATCCCCTATTTAAAGGTGGCTACACCCTGCTAAGGGCAACTTCAATGCACAACTCCAAATGGTCCGCTCGTGCCCGTTTGGGGATAAAAGGACAAAGCAGACCCTCCAATGCGCGGGAGCAAACGGATTGCCGTCCGTTTTCTGTCCGCTTTCGACACATTCTCGACCCATGTTTGAGCCGAGTTTGCGGCTGAACGGACAGCACGTGGACGGGCGGGACGCGTGCCCTTGTCCTCCCCTGGCTCGCCCGACGATGGCGCAGGCGGCCACTCCACCCCCTTTCCTCCAAAACGCTCCCACGCCCCACCCTCCACTCTCCCGCGCCCCCGCCCTTCCCCCTCCCTCCATCCACCATGGCTGACGAGGCGAACCCTGTCGACTCACCAGCTGCCTCCCACCCCGTGGCGAAGAAAATGAAGCCTATGAAGAAGCCTCGATCGGTGCTCACGCCGGCGGAGGTGGCCAAGCTCAACGCCGAATCGGCCAAGAGGAGGAACTGTCGAGGCGGAGAAGAAGGCCGCCGCCGAGTACACTGCCGAGTGTGCCGTGCGGCGTGCATTGCAGCACCAGGCCGACGTCGAGGACAAGGAGTCCATCGTCTCCAAGGCGCACGCTGCTACTTCTTGAGCTTGCGTTGATTTTTCCCTTGAAGAGGAAAGGGTGATGCATCAAAGTAGAGATAAGTATTTTCCTTAGTTAAGAACCAAGGTATCAATCCAGTAGGAGGCACAAGCAAGTCTCCAATAGATGCACCTGCACAAACTAACTGTTGGGGAACGTAGTATTTTAAAAAAATCCTACGATCACGGAAGATCTATCTAGGAGAAGCATAGCAATGAGCGGGAGAGTGTGTCCACGTACCCTCGTAGACCGAAAGCGGAAGCGCTTAGTAACGCGGTTGATGTAGTCGAATGTCTTCGTGATCCAACCAATCCAAGTACCGAACGTACGGCACCTCCGTGTTTAGCACACGTTCAACACAATGACGTCCCTCGAGCTCTTGATCCAGTTGAGGACGAGGGAGAGTTCCGTCAGCATGACGGCATGGCCACAGTGATGATGAAGTTACCGATGCAGGGCTTCGCCTAAACAATAGATGATATGACCGAGTGTGTAACTGTGGAGGGGGGCACCGCACACAGCTAAGAGAAGACTTGGTGTGCCTTTGGGGTGCCCCCCACATATATAAAGGAGGGAGGGAGAGAGGCCAGTGAAGGAAATATGCCCTAGAGGAAATAATAAAGTAATTATTTATTTCCTTATATCATGATAAATGTTTATTATTCATGCTAGAATTGTATTAGCCGGAAACATAATACTTGTGTGAATACATAGACAAAAAGAGTGTCACTAGTATGCCTCTACTTGACTAGCTCGTTGATCAAAGATGGTTATGTTTCCTAGCCATAGACATGAGTTGTCATTTGATTAACGGGATCACATCATTAGGAGAATGATGTGATTGACTTGACCCATTTCGTTAGCTTAGCACTCGATCGTTTAGTATGTTGCTTTTGCTTTCTTCATGACTTATACATGTTCCTATGACTATGGGATTATGCAACTCTCGTTTACCGGAGGAACACTATGTGTGCTACCAAACGTCACAACGTAACTGGGTGATTATAAAGGTGCTCTATAGGTGTCTCTGAAGGTATTTGTTGGGTTGGCATATTTCGATATTAGGATTTGTCACTCCGATTGTCGGAGAGGTATCTCTGGGCCCACTCGGTAATGCACATCAATTAAAGCCTTGCAAGCATTGCAACTAATGAGTTAGTTGCGGGATGATGTATTGCGGAACGAGTAAAGAGACTTGCCGGTAACGAGATTGAACTAGGTATTGAGATACCGACGATCGAATCTCGGGCAATTAACATACCGATGACAAAGGGAACAACGTATGTTGTTATGCGGTCTGACCGATAAAGATCTTCATAGAATATGTGGGGAGCCAATATGAGCATCCAGGTTACGCTATTGGTTATTGACCGGAGACGTGTCTCGGTCATGTCTACATAGTTCTCGAACCCGTAGGGTCCACACGCTTAAAGTTTTGATGATGGTTATATTATGAGCTTATGAGTTTTGATGTACCGAAGGTTGTTCGGAGTCCCGGATGTGATCACGGACATGTTGAGGAGTCTCGAAATAGTCGAGACATGAAGATTGATATATTGGAAGCCTATATTTGGATATCGGAAATGTTCCGGGTGAAATCGGGATTTTACCGGAGTACCGAGGGGTTACCGGAACCCCCCGGGGGCTTAATGGGCCATAGTGGGCCTTAGTGGAGAAGAGGAGAGGTGGCTAGGGCAGGGCCGTGTGCCCCTCCCCCTCTAGTCCGAATAGGACAAGGAGAGGGGGGGCCCTTTCCTTCCTCTCTCCCTCCTCTTTCCCCCGTTCTCCTAATCCAACAAGGAAGGGAGGGAGTCCTACTCCCGTTGGGAGTAGGACTCCTCCTGGCACGCCTCCTCCTAGCCGGCCGCACCTCCCCCTTGCTCCTTTATATACGGGGCAGGGGGCACCCCATAGACACAACAATTGATTTGATCTTTTAGCCGTGTGCGGTGCCCCCCTCCACCATAGTCCACCTCGATAATACTGTAGCGGTGCTTAGGCGAAGCCCTGCGTCGGTAGAACATCATCATCGTCACCACGCCATCGTGCTGACAAAACTCTCATTTAACACTCGGCTGGATCAGAGTTCGAGGGACGTCATCGGGCTGAACGTGTGCTAAACTCGGAGGTGCCGTGCGTTCGGTACTTGATCGGTCGGATCGTGAAGACGTACGACTACATCAACCACGTTGTGCTAACGCTTCCGCTTTCGGTCTACGAGGGTACGTGGACAACACTCTTCCCTCTCATTGCTATGCATCACCATGATCTTGCGTGTGCGTAGGATTTTTTTTAAATTACTACATTCCCCATCAGTGGCATCCGAGCCAGGTTTTATGCGTAGATGTCATATGCACGAGTAGAACACAACCGAGTTGTGGGCGATATAATTCATACTGCTTACCAGCATGTCATACTTTGGTTCGGCGGTATTGTTGGACGAAGCGGCCCGGACTGACATTACGCGTACGCTTACGCGAGATTGGTTCTACCGACGTGCTTTGCACACAGGTGGCTGGTGGGTGTGAGTTTCTCCAACTTTAGTTGAACCGAGTGTGGCTACGCCCGGTCCTTGCGAAGGTTAAAACAACACCAACTTGACAAACTATCGTTGTGGTTTTGATACGTATGTAAGAACGGTTCTTGCTCAGCCCGTAGCAGCCACGTAAAACTTGCAACAACAAAGTAGAGGACGTCTAACTTGTTTTTGCAGGGCATGTTGTGATGTGATATGGTCAAAGCATGATGCTAAATTTTATTGGATGAGTTGATCATGTTTTGTAACTGAGTTATCGGCAACTGGCAGGAGCCATATGGTTGTCGCTTTATTATATGCAATGCAATCGCCCTGTAATGCTTTACTTTATCACTAAGCGGTAGCGATAGTCGTGGAAGCATAATATTGGCGAGGCGACAACGATGCTACGATGGATATCAAGGTGTCGCGCCGGTGACGATGGTGATCATAACGGTGCTTCGGAGATGGAGATCACAATCACAAGATGATGATGGCCATATCATGTCACTTATACTGATTGCATGTGATGTTTATCTTTTATGCATCTTATCTTGCTTTGATTGACAGTAGCATTATAAGATGATCTCTCACTAAATTTGAACATAAAAGT